GAGGAGGCCCATGGGCCAAGGGCCCAACTACTAGGGCTATGGCAAGGAGGATACAAGAGGAGTGGGCCCAAGCTCAAGGAAAGCCCATCACATTGTTTAGTTGGGCTTTGACTCAAGCCCAAGTAGAATAGGAGTAGTGTAGGGTTGGGCCTTAGAGCCTTGTATTTCTTTAAGGCCTTGTATTTCCGGCCATTTAGATTAGGATTTCATTTGATGGTCATTTGAATTTAGGGTTATTTAGGTTGCATGTGTATTTGCATTAGAATGTAATTAGTTTCACATTTGGTATGCATTTCGGCCATGTGCAACACATGCACATGGTGTGACCGAAATGCAACTCAAATGGAAGCTTAATGACATTCCAAATGAGGTGCACATGGTGTGATTCGGTTTAGGCTCCAAATTTGAATTTTGAATTCAAATTTTGGGCGCCTAAGGTTAAGTAAACCATACCATGGTTTCAGTTAACCTTAGGCTAACCCATGGTCACTTTAACCTAATTATTTCCTATAAATTCCAAGTGGCCGAGAATTGTATCACTTTTGGACTAATACATGAGAATTCTTCTTATTGAACTCTCCCTCTCCGAAAGTCACTCCAACCTAGACTCTACCCTTCTTGAGCTCCTCTCTTTGTAGAGCTAGGCTAACTTCTTCTTCTTCGGACTTAGCTTGAGCAATCATTGGTCACATTGGTGCAACTTGGAGTCTTCTTCCTTGACAATATTCCAAGGAATCCGAGAAGCATTGAAGTGTTCTTGAGAATTCACAAGTGGATTCTCATCAAATGATGAGAACCTTCTTTGGCCATCATGAAAGTCGAGTACCCCTCGAACTTCTTCAAGGAATTAGACAACTCGAATATGCATTCGATCATGGAACCGGACAAGTCGTCACAATATTCGACCCATCATATACTGGTCAAGATTAAAACGGTAAACATCCATGTCATCTAAGATTAAGCAGAATCCCTTGATTACCAACTTCTTAATCCAAAAGTCCCGTTAGGCCTAAATATATCACTATAAATAACAGGTATATGGGACACGAAAAGACAGGTATGATCAATCAATGCTACAATATTTAATATTTATTGTTCTGATCTGAATACTCACTTGAACCTTGGAGTGTTTTTGCTGGTACCCTTCCCACTTTTGGGACCCATGGTATGGACATTTGTTACTCCTATGATTGAAGATCAAGGTCAAGGACAAAGAGGAAGGAGAGTGGAGTGTTTCTTACATGAACAAATCTTAATAATAACTTCATATCTATTTTCATGTGGAATTCTAAAACCAAAGTTACTTAGAGATGTCTTAAAGAAAAATAATCAAGGACCGAATGGAAGTTTATTCGTTTTCCTTTTCTTGAAATCCTCCTACAAATACAAATATACAAAAGTTGTGAGAGAAAGCATTAAAAAAGTAAATAAAGATATAATATATTTTTAGTTGTTATAAAATAATTGTACTTTAATTTTAATTCTTATAAATTTTTTCTTTACTTTTCTTTTTTTTAAAAAAAAATATTTTATATCTATAATTTTAATTAAATATCAACTGACTACGTTTCTATATTAACGTTGTACGTTTCTATGTTTTTTTTCTAGCTCACTAAAATATATCTACCTTAAATTAATTGATTAATCATTTAAGGATAGAATTGACAATTTCAAATTTGGAAAATGAAAACCAAAAAAAAATAAAAAATTAAAGACCTAAATTAAAATTTAATTATTTTATTTGAACAAAAATCAATGATTTCATTTTATAAAAGAGTATACACCAAATAAAAGAAAACGGTTCAAATATATTTTTAGTCTCTTAATTTCTAGGTAAACTTGCTTTTAGTTTCTGAAACTAAAAATTAATCTTTTTTCTCAATAACTTGTACTCAAGTTTTTTTAGAAATTCTGTCAAATAGTATTTTACAAAATCTACCTCTATTTATGAAAACAAAACATTAAACACAACTGATGTTACATAACTGTATCAATTAATCATTTTCAAACATATTATTAATGATTAAAGAAACTAAAATAAGATTTTTGAAAATTACTTAAACTAAACTAAAAAGTACAGTTATAAATTTGAGTAACCAAAAATAAATCTATCCTAAATTAAAAAATTAAAAACATATTTAAGAAGAAAAAAAATTAAAGACAAATAAAAATTTCTTATTTTATAAAGACTAAAGTTTTATAAGATAGTATGGTAGTTTAGGAAAGAGGCATAGGACTATAGTGATAAGGAGAGCGCGAGTTCAAATTTCTCCATTTAACAAAACATTAATTACTTACATTTGTCGATAAAAAGAAATACTTAGAATACATTTAAGCCAAGCGTAGAAATATACCAAAACAAAAGATTTATAAAAGTTATATCTAAGATAATTTAAATCTCAACCTTCTCCCACTACATTAGTGGAGGAATAAACTAGAAAAAGAAAAAAACGATAACAAAGACTTTTGATTACAGACCAAAACTTATAAAGACTAAAATCCAAGAAAAAGAATATTTCAAATTATATAACCTATGTTCTAGGGGATTACAACGTCGATGAGCCTCCTAGATCAAACTAAAAATGATATATTAATAAGCCATTATTTTGACAAGTGCCTAAAAATTATATTTTACACAAACATTACACTACAAGAATCAGGGGACTCATGCTACAAACATGACGAATGAAAACCCAAGAGTCATTGGGTAAGCATAATCTATATATCTATTCATTTTTGCATCCTGAAAGGTAGGTCCGTGCCAGCATAAAACACTTCTCTTTCTTCCTTATGTACTCTTGGTATCGAAGGAAAAAGTAACCAAGATAATCAAATTCAATTGGAGACATCTTTGCCTGCTTATCCCGCTGACGATCAATAATGTACTCAGTGTTGGGTCCATACAATCTGACGGTTATAATTTCCTCAATAAAATTTTCCTTTTTAACCGAAACCTTGAGTACTGAAAGACATTCACAAATCCCTCGGTTAGGTTCCACATCAACAACACTAGAGACTATAGATGTACAACAAGTATTTGAAAATGTAGATTTGATTGTAAAACTAATTTGTAAGGTGAGAGTTGTTAATATACATACTACTTTGGTTATATTACTACTCGGTGTAGAATATCCAACACACCTAATGCAGGTAGTTCAATAAAAGGTAGCCCAATAGGCCCAAACAATAATTGTTCGGATAGACTCCCACACCATCTTAGAATGTGGGTTCAAAGAATCCAACAAATTTGACTTGTAAGGTGAGAGTTGTCACTCCCCTTATATACACTACTTTGGCTATATATAAAATCTTAGAATGTGGATTTAGAGCTAACTCATTCTAACAAAATTGACTTGTAAAGTGATGGTTGTCACTCCCCTTATATACACTACTTTGGCTATATATAATTGATGTGGGACCTCTGAGAAATGAAAGTTAAATAGGTTATTTTTCTGGATTTGGCAAGTAAACCGTTCTCCAGACATAGCCATTAAGCATATGAAAATCAATCTTGAGGTCGACGACAATTTTATATCCTTTTTGGGCCTGGAAGAAATGAGAGTAATAAGAAATAACTCACACAAATTTGTTATGCCCCCGGAAATCTTCTCAACATGAAAGCAAGAATCATCCAAATTCGACCATGCCTTGAACATATCCTTGCACAACTTTCTGCAAGCATTCACCAGAAAGAAAGAAACGGAAACGATGTAATTTCAGGAACAGGGAACATTTAATTGCAAAAACAGACCACAAATTCAACGAATGAACATCGAAAGACGGACTAGGTTGCATAACAACTCAAAATCCAAAGAAATTGAACAATCTCGAAACCCCAATTTGACTCAAGTTTCCATCAAAACCTGTCCCACTTTCCCACATAATCCCAGCAACCAAACGCCAGAAACGATGAAACAAACCCATGCAGATTCAAAAGAGAAGCGCGCGAAAAAAACCAAGAAAGGAAAATAAAAAATAAAAAGTAAAAACAACATTACATTATTTTTATTAAAAGAAAAAAAAAACTAATAATTACGAACCGGACGAGAGGTGTCATTTGAGGAAGGGGGAGCGAAGGGTCAATGGTAAGAGGCGAGGGATGAATCTGCGAGGCATAGTCATGGCGAGCTTGCTCCGCAACTTCAACGGGGTTCCAGATCTTAACCTCTGCACCCATTAGTTGAACCGAAAAGGAGAAAGGGGGGGGGGGGACAGAAAATAAAGGAATGAATTATTATATTACCAAAAGGTAGTTTATCTTAGTAAGAGATAAATAAAGCTCAAAATGAACAATTCAACTTGCAATGGCCAATTGATGAAAATCTGATATCCCCCTAATAATAAAAAAAATGATACTACCAAGGAGAATGTTTCTACAAGCATATGTACACCTTCAGTTACCATGTAACATTCAATTAATTCATTGGGTAGTGAATAACATTTGCAGAAATAACAAAGTAAAATAAAGACAGCAACATCAGCACAAGATGACTGAAATAATTTGACTAAGAAAAGCATGCACAGGCATTCAGTGATATGGCTAGTTTCGTATGTAATCATGCAGTACATTGTCTTACCTGCAACTCCCGCTGACGATCAATAATGTACTCAGTGTTGGGTCCATACAATCTGACGGTTATAATTTCCTCAATAAAATTTTCCTTTTTAACCGAAACCTTGAGTACTGAAAGACATTCACAAATCCCTCGGTTAGGTTCCACATCAACAACACTAGAGACTATAGATGTACAACAAGTATTTGAAAATGTAGATTTGATTGTAAAACTAATTTGTAAGGTGAGAGTTGTTAATATACATACTACTTTGGTTATATTACTACTCGGTGTAGAATATCCAACACACCTAATGCAGGTAGTTCAATAAAAGGTAGCCCAATAGGCCCAAACAATAATTGTTCGGATAGACTCCCACACCATCTTAGAATGTGGGTTCAAAGAATCCAACAAATTTGACTTGTAAGGTGAGAGTTGTCACTCCCCTTATATACACTACTTTGGCTATATATAAAATCTTAGAATGTGGATTTAGAGCTAACTCATTCTAACAAAATTGACTTGTAAAGTTAAATAAATAAATATATATATATATATATATATATATATCAACTTGTCATTCAAGCAAGAAAACATAGCCAGCATAAAAGAGGAAATATATTACCTGAATTAGACCCCACAGTGCCCAGAAAATGTGAGAGGCAAGGGAAAATGTATTTGCTTCAACATACAAAGTTTCAAGATCTTTCTCGAACACCTGTATTATATAATAAAGAATAGATAAAATTACATTGACAACCCTTGAAGCTTCTTCTGGTTTCACTCGATACTTCTCATTTTTTTACTCCTATACTAACTCTCCTTGATTGTTTAGAAAACATTACATTGATATCTCTTATACATTACATTGATATCTCTTATACATTACACTAACCCCTCTTAATTATTCAAAGAAAAATATTATACCGTATTCCCCATCAAGGATGTTGCTGTAAACGTTAAAAAGACAAGGAGTTGTGTACAATATCATGCAATGTTATGGATTACAAGTATAATTTACTCCCAAGAAAATGATCTAAAAGAAACACTTGATATACCAATATAGGACAGGCAACAAAAAATTGAAACTGAGTTATATATTTCAATAACTTTTATATCCTTATGTGCATGCGTAGTCTAAAGGGTGGTTTCAATAAACCACTCCATGCACACTTCCAAGAAAAGAAACAAGAAAAATGAAATAAGTTTCTCAATAAACTAAAATTAACTTATGTACAAGTTAAAAATAAGCTTTTGGAGAAATTAACATAAAAAAAAAAAAAAAAAAAA